TTTTTTAGTAGAGATTCTAGACTACCAGTAAATCAGTAATATGATATGTATTCACTATATTTTGTTTAAGGTAATGAAAGACTGGCAGTAGAATTTCCCCACAATCATATGAGTAGAGCTGACGTTTGCGTTGAATTTCACATTGCCTTGATTTCCCAAAAGTCGTTCTCATCCAGAGTGGACTGCAGTTTCGACCTCGCATCGGTCTTAACAACACCCCAGCAGGAGTCAAAACGTGACCGTGCAGAATCTGATCTTGACACGTTAACCACTCGACCACATTACCATGAGTGCCCTTGGGTCACAGGGCAGATGTGAATTTCAAGAAAGACCAGGCCTCTTGCCATTTTATATTCTTTTATGGGATTTTCGATGAAGCAAACGTATATTTGCTATAACATTCGACTACGTTACTTTATTTTTCACATTTAAGTATTGCTTCGAGACTACCAGTGAATCAGTAATATGAGATGTATTTACCTAATTTCGTTTAAGGTGATGAAGAAGTGATAGAAGAATTTTCCCACAATGATATGAGTAGAGCTGACGTTTCCATTGAATTTCACATTGTCTGGTTAACGTGTCAAAATCCCATTCTGCACTGTCACGGTTCGACTCCCGCTGGGGGTGTTTATAAGACCGATGTGAGGTCGAAAATGCAGTCCAACCTGGATGAGAATAACTTTTGGGAAAGCAAGGCTATGTAAAATTTAATGAAAACCTCAGCTCAACTCATATCATTGTGGGAAAATTCTACTACCAGTCCTTCATCACCTTGACCAAAATATAGTGAATACATATTATATTATAAAGGTTTAAAATTATTTGTATTATTATATTTTCAATTAATACTACTAAGAAAAATTTTATTGAACAATTGGGACCAGTGAATTCTTATGAGAAGCTATCAAGTACGGAAAAACAAAGTAGCTCGTAAATTGGCCCCAGCGGGAACCAAAGCCTTAGAGTTGTGACTGCTGGATTATGTAAAGCTGACCTTGGCTCACCGTCTTGTAGCCCATGTACAAAATAGAATTGGATGTTTGTAATAAGTGAATTTTTCCAAAGAGATTGCAATTTGCTATGCCAAGCAATAAGAATTTCAATCATGAAATAATGGTAGAACTTATAAGCTTAACAAAAAGGCTTCTAGAAGAGAGGATAGATTATATTTAGTTAGACCTTGTTCCTTTGATTAACAGCAGCATATAAGAACGGTAGAGTTAACAACATCATAAGTAAGTTCAAACAAAATAAAAAATAGTAATGAAGGTAAACAAAATATAGGAAGTAATAATTATACGTAGGTATGAAGGCCATGATGTTATGGCATCTATTTTGGTTGAAGTCTCCTTTCGAGGTAGAGAAGTTGCCTGAACTCATTTTCGCAACTTGGTAGTGTTGTCAGGGCGAGCTAGTTGGATGCATTTGTTCTGAAATCCTCTGCCTTAGTAGTTATGATAATTCCCGGGTTTGGTTCATGGACTTGGTACATTTTCAGACGTTTCACCGCCATGGTAGACGGCAAAGTCAGTAGAGTCAATCCCTTGACCAGCCTTATGCCGAACAGTAGTGCTACCCTTCCTCTTTCTGTATTGGCACATCCCATACTACCTAACCCCTTATCTCACTCCCATCCTCTCGCAATGTCTGAATTCTTTATATTCTACTCCTCAAGAAGTGTGTCCTTATGTGGAAAGTTCACTGTGGCGTCATCACATCCCCGCTGTTTACCTTGCCCCACCCTCTCGATTTGCTGATCTGATTCGGACTTCCCATCCGAATCTCCCTCATAAACGCGTAGATCAGTTGTCCATCGTTATAGTTGACTGATTTTACACTGTGGCAATCCAAGTATGCGTTTTCAGTTTGTAAGTTGGGTTTCGCGACTAATAGTAAATAAGATATATGAAATGTCTTTACCCTATTTCGTTTAAGGTGATGAAGGACTGGCAGATTAACTTTATCACAATGATACATGTTACCTTACGCTTCCGTTGAATTTAACATAGCCTTGCGTTCCGAAAGGTATTTTCATCCAGACTGTACTGGACTGCAGTTTTCACCTCGCCTAAAACTTATCAACACCCCCGGCTGGACTCGAACCACGACAGTCCACCCTGTTGGAAAATAAATTTAGTTAAGCAAATCAATGTCATATTCGATGCGACTGTAAAGTCCAAGTTGGGAAAATTCAACTGACTGTCCGTTATCATCGTAAACAAAATAGGGTGAACATATTTCAAGTATATGTTTTAATATAAGCGCTATTTCTCCTGCCTATAGTAGCAGGTATACTTTAGCCCCGTTGGGCAGATGTGAATTTCAAGGAAGGCCAGGCCTTTTCCCGTATCACACTCTATGGTGGAATTTTCGACAAAGTAAAGTCGTATTTGCCATAATAATCGATTAGATTGAACTGCAATTTTGGCCTCGCCTGAGTTTCATCCTAAACCGTGACGATGTTGTGTATACGTTCGACATGTTACCACTAGGATACATTATCACGGATGCCAATGCATTACACAGCCGACGTGGTGAGAATGTCTATGTAGCAAAGTTGTATTTGCTATTACAATCTACGATGTTTCGTATAACTAGATAGAGTAGATTTCGTTACTACAAATACATCTTGATTTCTTTTGGGGGGACTAATGAGAGCCAGGCGAGGTAGAAACTGTGATCAACCCTGAGTGAGAACACCTTTTGGGAGGAAACTCAATAGCATAGTGAGGCATTGTGGGAAAATTCAACAATCACATCTTCATCAACTTATGCCACAAATTAATTGTTTATGGGCTAAGTTAACCATAATGCCAGTGGCCTTAATTGGCCGGCTACAAAATTGCATAATTTGGAAAACACGGCTCGTTCGTCCGCAGAATTTGCTCACAGCAATTATGACAAATGTAGTAATTATCCTCCCATGTCGATTTTAAAAAGCAGTCTTTGATCGTCCAGGCGCCTAAATTGCGTTTTACAATGTGCATATTAGCCACAGGCCTTGCTGGGGGCCGAACAAGGATTGTAGCTTTAGTCTGCAGTGAATTTATTGTGATACTTCGACTGGTTTATTACTCGATTTGCAGAGAGAATGTACAATAAGAATTGGTATAAGTGTTTGCTATTGCAGTGAATTTAACTTTTCAATTCGTATCGTTAAGTGAAGGACTTGCTATAGATAGACAACTGTTCGCTTGCCAGTGGATGCGAAACACTGCAGATTTTTGTAGTCAGTAAAAGTTTTTGTTTTGGAGATTTTTAAAGGATGCTTCGACTCGAAGAAAACCAGTTAAAACTAGTTTATGGGGCACGTGCCGGCCACCCAACCTACCTGTCTATGGTTGGTGGGAATGATGGCGATAATAAGGTGATGTTGAAATTTCAACATCCCGAGGCCTCTATTAAGAAATTAACTTAGACTTATGATACGAAGAGCAATAAGCTAGTTACGTTTATAGATATTAGATCAAAGCTCTGGCGTGATCTAGCCAGGATCCTGACTCCGGAAGACTTTCAAAAAGTTCAGAACATGACCGACAGCAAATAACGTAGGATCTCTGACTGAATAACAAAACAATATGACGATAAATTGCCTAAGTTTAGGATTATAAGACAGCCTAAGCTGAAGCCAGTATGCCCAGTTGAATTAGTTTCCGATGTGACAACACCTACCGAAAAGATGGAATATATTCTACGAAACAGGACTATATATCGTAAACTAAAAAGGACCTAACTATGAAGAGCAATGGAATCTTAAATGACATGTCGACAAATCCACCATAGATTGTGATACAGGAAAAGGCCTTGCCTTTCTTGAAATTCACATCTGCCCCGTAACTCAAGAGAACAAGTGGCATTGTGGGGTAGTGGGTAACGTGTAGAGATTATACGCTGAACTGTCATGGTTCGAATCCCACTGGAGGTCCTTATGAGGCCTAAGCGAGGTCAAAACTGCAGTCCACATTAAATGAGAACACCTTTTAGGAAAGCGAAGCCATATGAAATTCACTGGAAGAGTGAACTTTGCTCATACTATTATTGGAAAATTGAACTATTAGTCATTCAGTGCATTAAACGAAATAGAGTTATAGCATCTCATATAACAGATTTACAGACAATCTCGAAACATTACTTACAAACGAAAAGTATAATTTATTTTCTCTATATTGCTCTAGAATTGATAGTTAAGCGGATAAACGCGGGCAATATAAAGAGTTGGAAATGACTTGACTTATTTACTATTTGATCATATAGGATTTTTGTTAGCTAGGAAAAATGTAAGTCAAAGTTCTCCGAAAAACGGTTTACAGGGGAGAGTATCTTGTAACCTTGACCCCAATTGGTTTTTATTCGAACATGAAAATGTATAATGATCACAAGAAAGCAGAGAATAGCACGTATTTAAGGCGTGATTTAACATATGCCTTGCATTCAAGACTGGCTAACATGTATATTGAATGCCAAATTGCATTTCATTTCTTCCATGGCTCCTTCCTGATACCAGAGAGCAGGATCTATTTGAGCTCCATAAAAATTTATCGGCTAAAAAATTGGCTCTTCATGAAAGGAATAGAAGACTGAGAGCGATTTTTCATATGGTTGACATATATGCTGGCACATTAAGGCTTTGATGAGTGTGCCAGTGCGGCAACATACCTTCTATTAATGTGACCGGAATCCGATAGGTGCTTGCTACGGAATTAGATGACGATGTAAAATGACAAAGAGCAATTATGAATAAGTGCAGATTTCTCATGTCGTTCCCTTTAAAATTCGCTTTCACTGCCCTCATTGCGACGTTGAGAAAGTCCCTGGGCGACGACACAATATCCGTGCTAAGCAGACATTCATCCTCATCCAAATAGTTCCTTTGTTCGTGCCACGTTCTACACCAGACAGCTCCAGGGTCAAAGGTTCAACCAGTTTGTTGGTGAGATGGCGCCAGGGTTTTGGTTCTGCGAATGGAGAGAGGCGACTTTGAAGACAGGCTGATGAGGTCAACTGGCTGAACGATATCGGGTTGTCGTTTTGGTACCGGCCTCTGTTTTGGATGGTCGCTGAGGCAACGCCCGACAGAGCTGGCCCACTGACCGGAACAGCGACCGGTGCCGATGGCTCGATCAGTGAGGTGTCGTTGACGGTGGACAGCGAAGAGAAGGAGGCGTAATGTCTGCAGGATTGTGAGTCCGTCAGCCTGAGCACAGGGCAGATGGAAGGAGAGGCAGCAGGGCGGACGATGCATGACAGGCTCGGAGCCGATAAAGCGCAAGCAGGGCTGCAACACCTCGAGGAGTCTGGAGCCAGTCGGCTTGGCCGTCAGATCGGTTCGACTGCATGGCTCTCCGAGTGCGCTGATCAGACTGATGGCGTCGTGCCAGGCCTTGAGTGCAGTTCGTGAACTGTTGCGACAACGTATCAAACCCTGTTGCTGTGGCAATTCGCGCAAGGCCTCTTCTGGCTCAAGCGTGACGCCACAGCTGGGGCGATTGTGCAATGAAGCGGCCAACTCGAGGATGGGAGTACGAAATTCGACTGGTTCAAGGCCGACCATGTCGACGAACATCAGAATGCCGGAAGTGGCTAAGCTGCCGGTCGGATGGAGTGGGTAGGCCTGACCGGCGGCCGTGACGACGGGATGGTGAGAGGAAGCTGTGAAAGCAGAGTCGGGTGAAGATATTGAGGTTGAAGAGTTGGCAGTTTGATGCATGCTGTCTAGGGCAAAACTGTCTCTGACTGACCGGCAAGGTGGTTGGTCTGCAGATGCGATCGGGCCCATCTCGTAGGAGGTCTCTTCGCTGAGCATTTTTGCCGACTGAGCAAAGCCCTGCGGCTGTACACGAATGATGACAACCAAATGCCGACAGGCCAATCTCATTTTGTCCGGGCTTCCTGTCGAAATGGGCGGTTTTTTCACCGCTTTGATGCGATTTGACGAAATCAGGCGCCTACGCGCTGTCTGGATGAGCCGCAGAAAAGCGAGCACATCCTCTTGACAGTAGATCGGCCGACTGGCCAGTCCCTCCAACCAGTCCTGTTGGACGGACATGTCTACAAAACGGTCGGCCAGAAGATCAACCACAGGTCCCTCCCAGTTGTCCAGCTCCACTTCTACCAGCGAGGCCAAGATACAAGGACCCAGTGAGTTTGCCGTCTGCGAGCCGACGCTTTGGCAGTCGGTCCAGTCGCGCTGAGTCTGCCGATGCCGTACCAACTCGGTAAGTTGATCCAGCGTCAGGCCAACCAGACCCAGTCGATTCGCCTCTTGACTGGTGACATTCATCGAGGGAATGGAGCGCAGCACCTTGGCACTCATCGCTGAAGCCGGCAATAGAGACGACTGCATGTGGGCAGGATTGACTGACATGTGAAGCGAAGAGGGTGCCGGCGAGACAGGTAGATAAGCGGCTTCTTCGCCCTCCTCGACACCGAACAAAGCGGTCGTCTTCCCCGTGCCGACTGGCCCCAGAGCCACGAAGCAGGCGTTGAATCCTTCCACAACCGTGTCGAGCAGGGCCTCGATCTCGAAAAACAAGCCCGCGGCATAGCTGTCACCTGACGGTGGCATCACCTGGGCCACCTCACAGGAGAGCCGAAGCCAGGGCCCCGAGCACCGGCTCGATGCGTTCAAGGGGCCTGAGTCTCCAGGCGACAAAGACGCGGCTCTAGCCAACAGGGGATCCTGCCGTACGATGTGTTCTAGGCTCTCGTTGGCCGGCAGCTGAAAGCCGAGGTGACGCGGAGACCGGAAAGCCAGACATGACGTCTCCGGCGTCGGCCTGAGGCTGGCGAACACACGCAACCGACCGTAATAGGCCTGAAAGTTAAGCATCAGCAGACGAAGCTGGCTGGCCGGTATCTCGGCGTACACAGCCAACTGGGAGCACTGACGCTCAGCCCTACGAAGGCGTTCCAGTGAGCGCTCGGCCTCGAGCACACAAACGCGTCGTTGACGCCAAAGAGTTCGTTGTACCGCCTTCCAGTGGCTTTCCTCACGGGCCAGTTGTGAATTGACCTGTCGACGCGACTCCAGATTAGCCTTGGCGCTGTTTTCTCGCTCCGTCAGCCTGGCCAGCTCCGCCTGCATTTCCGCCAGACTCAGGCAGTCCTGGACGTATGCTTCATTTTGATTAGTCAGCGCTTCACCATCGTGGGCGGCTACAGAGACCTGTCTAACCAGTTGGGTGTGTTCCTGCTGTGCTGTGGACAGAGCCTTCTTCAACTTCCGATTGACGACAGACAATCGATGCATCTCGGCCTTGATACACGAAGAAACCATGTCTTTAGGCCCCTTAGAGTCGTCCGACACGCCCTCGCCTACGGAAAGACTGAGGCTATTGCTGCTGTATGGACTTGGTAGACGAGCCGTCACCGTTTTCAGCAGATGCCGGACCGGCGCAGAGCGACGGCTCTCTCTGTGAAAACCCTCCTTCGACGGCGATTGATTGTGCTCAACGGTAGGCTGTTTGACGGGGGCGGAATCCCTCGAATGACGCCTTGAAATGGGACGGGACTTGGTTACGCCAGATTGTACAACTTGCAAAGGTGAAAGTGACTGTCTTTTGGACTGGGACAACTGTTCACTCACCTCCAGTTCAGGCTTAGGCGTGATCGCATAATTGTCGCTACTTATGACCGCATCTTCTACATATCTTCCCAGAGTTGTGCTTAAAACGGGAAATTGCGTAATTTTGTTTGGATTCAGGGCTGCTGAGGACCATTGGTCCCCAGAGGGTAGCGTGCCAAC